AGACGAATAGTCGCCTTGCCTGGTTGACGAGGGACCTTAGCAGGCAATTAAAAAAGAAAGATAGGAAATGGAAGTTATTAAGGGAAAATGGGTCACCAGTACACCTCGGGAAATTCCGGCACCAAGGAAACGCGGTAAAAAAATCTATTCGCCAGGCCGGGAAAAACTATGTGTCAAGAATCCTTCAACAGGCCGAAGAAAAGCCCAAAATTCTATTCCGTTATATTAACAGTAGATTAAAAAACAAGGATTTAGTCGCAGTACTTAAAAATGACTATGGCGGGTAAGTCATTGAGAATGACGAGAAAGCCGAGTACTGTAGCCAATTCCCTGCCTCGGTATTCACTAGGAAAGCCGAGCATCATTTTGATAATGTCAACAGTGCTGTTGTAAACGCCGGTCCGGCACTTCAATTTATACTTTTTTCGATCTCCGTAGTTGAGAGGGAGCTGTAAAGCCTCAAAGAAGCAAAGTCATCCGGTCCAGACAATATACCAGCCAAGTTGGGGCCTCAAAGAAGCAAAGTCATCCGGTCCAGACAATATATCAGCCAAGTTCTTGAAAGAATTGGCAAGCGAACTCTCGAAGCCCCTAGCACATATCGTTCGTTCTTCATTTGAATTAAGAAAACTGCCATCCGAATGGAAAACTGAAAATATATACCCGATAATCAAGGGCGGAGCCCGAACGGAAGTCGACAATTACCGGCCCGTCAGCCTAACTTGCATTTGCTGTAAGGTGATGGAAACGATAATTAAGAAGCCACAATGAAGTTCTTGCAGGAGAACAACTTACTGTCAGGACTCTAACACGGCTTCAGAAAGAACCATTGTTGTCTTTCCAGCCTACTACTCTCCAGTGAGCAGTAAACTCGCGCACTAGATGAAGATGGCAAGGTTGACGTCATCTATACGGACTTCAAGAAGGCATTCGACAGCGTCCCACGTAAACGTCTAATGTATCAATTGTCGGAAATCGGAATAAAAGGGAACCTGCTGGCATGGATCACTGATTTTCTAACGGGGCGATCGCAAACTGTGTGCATCGCTGACTCGAAGCCAACCCCTACATCTGTGCTGAGTGGCGTCCCCCAAGGCTTTGTCTTAGGGCCACT